AGAGCCCTCCGAGCAGCTGCCTGCGCGGCTGCCCCCGGGCGTCCCTTCACCCGCGGCGGAGCGGGGGCCGCAGCAGCCGTGTCCGATGTGGGTCGCCAGGCAGGGTGCTGGTGGCGAACGCGTTGTGTCGCGGCCAGCCCTGCCAACGCAGGAGCCACGAGTGGGCGTGGAAAGCTCTTCCCCGCAGCTGGGAGAACACGGCAATTAGCCTTCTGTGGAACCCAGCTAAATTAAAGAGGTGTAACGTGTGCACTGCGGTCATCTTCCTGGAAACGCAATGGTGAATAAGTGGACTGGCACGAGCAATCACAAGAGCAGTAGAATATAAGTAACTACTGCAGAACAGTCCCTGAATGTAACGTCGTTTGCTCATCCGTTGGAGAACTGAAGACACTGCCACGGTGCAGGGTACCAAACCCGACCCCCATATAGCCTGCGTGTCCCATCAAACTAACCACCCCGGCCGAAGTAGCTGATGTTCACAGCAAATTACTCACGAGAAACAGAAACACAAATCACAGGAAGTGGGAAAACCCGGGGCAGGTGGGGAAGTGGACACACACCGGGTTTCCTGTAGAAGAAAAACTTCTACTTCCCTTATCACTAAATTACCCGTCTCACTGAATTAAGTGACCTGTGTGTTTTGTGAACATCGCTTGAACTTGCTCAGCCTCTCCCTCTTACAGCTTCCTCCTGTTTCTGCATGCCCTCTTCATTACCTAATTATTGCCTAGTTTAGGAGGGTCTCTTTCTACTGCTCTTTTGCATCCTTATTTATGGAAAAGAAGTGTCTTTAACCCACCTCATGAGAATTCACCTTCCCGTTCCGATCCAGACTTCCTTAGCAAAACGTGTACAAGTATACAGATTTTGAAGGGAGGTAAATAGTAGAGACTTCCCAAAATTACTTATGGTACCTTTCAAAGACAGGACATTATAGCTTTATAGCCTAGTGCTTTGCATCAGCACTTGGAAGTGACTTTTGCCTTCCCCTATATGACCCCTTCAAAATGAGAAAAATCTCCTGGCAAGACACTCTCTGGAGAGGGCTTGGCATGGAAGGATAGCTTAACTTACCAAAACCATTGCTGTGAGCAGATGTGGCTGGGGTGCCAAACACAGAAATGTTTCTGGGCCCTGTCTTGCCTCCTTCCATAAAATTGCCTGAGTGGCTGCAGACTCAGCATGTTTCATGTCATACTGACTGCGGTGGGTCAAACAATGTTTGGTCTTACGGAAGCTCCTCACTAGTGCACCCATGCAAGGCTGTCTCAAGTTCCTCTCATTTTTATGAATCTAAAATTCCTGTTGTTTTTATGAAACTCACGGATTCTGTTTTAGATTTAGACGGACAATTGTATACTCAAATACTAGCATGTTCTATGATCAGACAAATACAAGAGGAATTGAGATAAAAGGGTCATATGTCCTAAGTATACATGATACTTGGAGGGCCCAAACTTTGACTAGCTGAGATTTTTTTCTAAATAGGTAGCATGAAGAGACAATTAGTCAGCTTTTGTGAGAAAAAGTAAACTTAGCATACTGAATACAAATATGCCAAAATGGGAAAGAGAATTAGCAGATCTTGCTAAATTTACCTGGAATAAAAGAAAACGAGACAAATTGAAAAATACTAAAAGAGTACAACTCACTAAATCAAGTAGGATGAGCCAGATACATATAAATGATAAGACTGAACTTAAAGAACAAATCACAGTATTGGGCATCACAGAATCATATTTTATTTTTGAAGAGATGTAACCTCTGGAATTTCTTGAGCGCTAATTTTGAATCTGCCACAGACTTTTTGCTCCAGCTTAAGCAAGTCATTACATTTCCAGTTTCTCCATAATTACATTTACTTAGCTCAAACAAGTATTTGGTACATTTTTTAAATAGCTTTTTTTTGCGCGGTGCAACAGATACTATTTTCCTTTAGGAAAGCTTGCCCACCAAGAGAAAAAAGATTGATGTTTTCTGTGGTTTTGTGTGATAAACTGGGCCAATTAGGGATCAGAAACCTGCCATACTGGTGCTAATGGGGATTGGATTACCCAGGCATAGGAGTGGTAGGAAGCAGAGGTGGAGTGCCTATTTTGACTGTGACTCAGCCATCTCTTGGAGCCTCACGCCATGTCTGCTGTCTTTGTCACCTCAACATTTCACTGTTGCAACACTCTCCAGCTTGAAAAGCTACTAAGAAATATTGAAAACGTTGCTGCTTGTCTACATCAGTGGAAGATTGCACTGCTTGCAGATAAGTCAGAAAACCTGTCTGCCAGATATTTTATGGTGAGTTTTTCCTGAAGACACTGGAGCTGACCCATTTACACCTGAAAAGAATGTGGCCCAGTGTTGTGTCCCCTCCCAGCTTCTTGTGCGCCCCAGCCTACTCACTGGCAGGGCAGTGTGAGAAGCAGAAAAGGCCTTGACTCTGTGTAAGCACTGCTCAGCAATAATGAAAACATCCATGTAGTATCAACACTGTTTTCAGCACTGTCGTGGTTTAATCTCAGTCGGCAACTGAGTACCACGCAGCTGCTCGCTCACTCCCCCCCACCCGGTGGGATGGGGGAGAGAATTGGAAGAGCACAAGTGAGAAAAACTCGTGGGTTGAGATAAAAACAGTTTAATAATTGAAATAAAATGATAATAATAATAATATGATAATAATAATAATACACAAAACAAGTGATGCACAGTACAATTGCTCACCACCCGCCGACCGATGCCCAGCCAGTCCCTGAGCAGCGGCCCCCCCCCGGCCAGCTTTCCCCAGTTTATGTACTGAGCATG